TCTTCTGGCAAGCTAAGAAAATGTTTATCTCCCTGAGCCTGGCCTTCATATTTCCATTCCATCACAAGATCTCATGATAAGCATTTGGAGTAAAGGCACACACTAATTCTCTTAGTGTCTTTAATCTGTCGCTTTTGCCATCTCACTCAAAAGCTTGGGTGATGGCAGGATAACTACAGACTTGTCACCCCAGATATAATTCAGAAAGTCTACCAAACAGCTTCAAAGTATAGTACATTCTTCTAGTCACTTCTTTTCCATCACCTGCAAGAATAAGTGATCAGCATATGTATAAAGCACAATTTCCACAATTCTTTGTTCTGGAGCCCACTGGATATATGAATTTCAGCAAGAATTCTCAACAATGGTCAGTCTGGCCGCAAAATTCCAAGTCCAGATATCTGGAGCATGCCAAGACACAACAGGTTGACTATGTCATATAAAGTAGCAGCATTGACTCATTCTTCCCCTACTTGATATCTAAGAAAAATTTGGCTTCCTATTGAAAACAGCATATCTTATCTAAATAATATTTTCCTAAAAGAGTCTAACTTTGTCAACTTTAGCCACAAAATGGCATAGATTTTCCATAATTAAACATAGATGTCTTCTACAATGCAGAGTCTTACAACCCCAAAAGGTAGAACAAAAAATATTGGATTTCTGTAATGGGTGCGGGCTGGATTAGATGATCTTTCCAACACTAGACATTGCAAGGAAGGCCGGCAGGCACAAGCTTATGGAAACAGCGACTAACTAATGCAGTAAATCAGCGGTTCCTAATTAAAGGGTGGAAACACATCCCTATGAATCTGCTGCCTCTAAGATACAGAGGCTCCCTTTCGAGCACAGCCATGGTGGAGAAAACAGAAAACTAGGTGGAATTTCCTATATGCATCGCTAATATTTGTTTAAATAACTGTTCCCATAGCCGTAGAGTTAGTCTGGCTGGGGAAAAAAAAAATTACCTAAATACTGAAAACTGTTGCAACAAGAATGCACTTTCATCTAGTAAGTGGAGCCAACTAGCAGAACCAGACTCCCTTAACTATCCTGAAACAAATATAAACAAATACTTGCAAGTAACTTAACGGCAAGTCAAAACCCGTCCTATCTGATCTGGCAGGAAGGGCATGCTCCGGGTACCGTCAGCTAGGGAGCGTCGGCTGGCGGGGCCCAGAAGGAGAGCTTTTTCTGCTGTGGCACCTGTCCTTTGGAACATGATTCCCCATGAGATTAGATTGGCCCCATCCCTGTCGGCCTTTCGTAAGGCTTTGAAAACTTGGCTTTGGGTGTCTGTTAGAGCCGGTTTCCTAGTTGTAGAGATGATGGATTAGATTGTGCCCGGCTGCTACGTGTTTCTATTTGTTTCATATTATGTATTGTGTGTTTTTATTTGTGTTATTATAAACCGCCTAGAGACCAGTAAAAGTGAGATGGGCAGCTATATAAATCAAGTAAATAAATAAACAATTCTACCAATTTTTTTTTAAAAAAACAGTGAAACTGACATGAAATGCAGATATGTAGCTAGGCGGCTAAGTCTTGTTTAAGAGGGACCGTGATAAAACAAGCACAATATTTCTTAAAGTGTTTTTCCTCTCAGGACCCCTTTTCCCCTTTTCAAAATTACGGAAGATTCCAAAAGAGCTTTTGTTTGTATGGGTTATATTTATCCACATTCACCGTATTAAAAAATGAAACTGATGCATGTGTTTCTGCTTCTCACGATTGTTGGATGGGATTTTAACAGTGTATTATTTTTCAACATGGACTGGCAAATAATTTTGATTTCGCTGACCCAAGAGGGCCTCGGGGGAGCCTCAGGGGTCCTAGGACCCCGCTTTAAGAAACACTGAATTAGGACATCTTTAGCTGAACTTCCCCCAGAGCAAGCACGTGTAGGCTACTGATGGTGTTAAGACTATTAAATTCTCTGCGGCCCTTTAAAAGGGTTTAAGGGTCCAGCTAGGGCACCATTCGTATTTTAAGAATATTGCCAGCAACCGGTGCCTGCACAAAGACGTTTGACCCACTCCGTGCAGGTAGAGAAAAGGGGGCCCTTTCCACCTCCTGTTTTATCACCCCCTTAGTAAAGAGAAGCATCCCCCCTCCCCAAAGGGCGCTGAAGCTCCTGCTCCCTCCCCTTGAACCCAAACTGTCAGGTGCATCTCCCTCGGGGAAGCGCAAAGAACCTTTTGGTTATACTGTTGCACTAAATCCACTTTCCCCGGAGTTTCATTGTATCGTGTCCATTGCTTGTTTTGGTATTCGGATTGTCAGGGCAGGCCGTCCGCCTCAGTGACACAAAGGGAGGTACGATGGCAAAAAGTTTAGGAGCCTCGGCCCGAAGCCCAAAGTGCCGCCGTCTTCTTGCGCGACTTTGACGGCCCAGCGCCGCACGCGCTCCAACCTCCGCGAACGCCCGGCAGGTAACTTTGATGAGCTGCAACTCCGCGGCTTTGCTGCGAGACGCCGCTAAAGCAGCGCTTCCCGCACACGCTCCCTCAGCCCAGCTGCACGCACCCCCAAGCCCCCAAATAGCCCGCCTTCGTGCACCCCCCTTGGCTTCTTGCAGCCCCAGAGCGGCGCGGCAGCACCTCTTCGCACCTTCCAGCTCCCCTCCTTCTCCCGCTGGGCGCCGCACCTCCGCACCCCCACCCCCCCGCACCCCAGGAGGGCCCCGCGGGGCTCACTTGGCGTAGTAGACCCAGCCGTCCTTGGTGGTCCGCTCCTCCCAGCCCGGCGGTAGCTCCTCCTCGCTGTCCGTGTCGTCCAGACCAGCGAACTTCAACGCCGCCATCCCCAGCGCTCCTTAAAAAGCCACCTGCGCTCCCGCGTCGCTCACCGGACAGGCGCAGCCCCTTCCCACCATCCGGAAGAGCCGCCCTTTCCGCCGCGCTCCAGCCAATCGCGCGCCGGGGAGACCCCGAGGCTCCCTGGGAAATGGAGTCTTTGGCTTGGCGAATGCACGTGGCACCGCTCAGCTGCCCTGGAAGCGGCGCCTCGCCCGCCGCCGCCCGCCAATCCTCCGCAAGGGCGTGGCTGGCGAGGGAGAGCCGGACAGATGCAGAGGACAGGAGCTGAGCATCCAAGGAGCTCTGGTTTGTGGAAATAATCGCAGTTTGCTGAGTTTGCACAAGGCACGCAGCGACGTGGTGGACAAGCTGTACTTACTGTAGGCTAAGTCACATTTCATGCAACATGCTGTCACAGTCAGGGAGGGGGGCATACCATTGTGCCTGGGTTCACACCTTGTCAGCCCTTCGAGGTCGCCCAGACCAGGCAAGAGTCACCAGCCCCAAGTACTAACACTACCTTTATTGGAAGGTTACAGTTTCAGAGTCCTGCAAGTCTGAAAGTACTTCCCTCACTTTCATTCTCCCGAAAACCAGGGAGGGTCTCTTCTGAGACGCTTTCGCCTCTCCCACCCCTCCTTCGGAGTCAGATTTTGTTTACCAGGCCGTTGTCTAGGCTGAGGCTCTTCCTCTTGTCTCCCAAGGTCATTCCCACATACCATCACATACATGTACTATGTCATTATCCTGGACTACACCAGGCTGAGTGAACTGACACACACTGAATGGCTGATTCCATACCTTGCTGTACTGAAATACATAAATAATGTAAATAAAGCCAGCTTCTGGACTCTGCCTTGTGCAAACATAAGCCAGTGTAGTTGTCTCGTTGTGCCACCCAAGATCGGAATATTAGTTTACTAAACCATGAATCAGAGTAAAGAGTGTGTTGGGTAGACAAAATCCCTGTGGTCTGTAAAATAAGACTTATGGCTTAGTGTCACCTGCAAAACTTTAGGTTTGGTTTATACGGTGTTCAATATTTGTGTCAATCTTCGATGAACATAACAGGGGACCTAACTACACCACAACTGGGGTTATCATACCTGGCTGCAAAAATGCAGGAAGTACAGTAGAGAGGTATAAACAACTCGTAACCCTTGGCTACCATCTAGTGGTGGTGTGAATATTTGCAGAGCAAAAATGCTCACCCTAGTAAAACCACGTAAAGCGGATTAATAGCTTAAACAGGGGAATGCAATCCCAGATGTGACATTCCATGAATAATGCAGGGAAATACACAAAGCCTTGACTCTGCTGGACTTATCCGTGTGGTGGACTTTAACTTTTTTGGGGCGATTAAGGTTTCGATAGCTAGAAAATAAAGGATTCCTTTAACAAAGGCTATTACTAGCGAAACTATTAATATTCTAAATGTAGTGTAGTGGTTAAGGTATTACCTTAAGGTACTATTACCTTATATATTACCTTAAGGTATTTTTTTAGTATATATTTAGTATATATATTTTAGTATATATTACCTTAAGGTATTTTTTAGTGTTGTTTTAAATGTTGGATGTATTATGTGTTTTAGATATATTTATAGTTTTAATGTTTTCTG